CACACACACACACACACACACACACACACACACACACACACACACACACACACACACACACACACACCGCGCTGCAACAACGATCACCTGATGGTAAACAGGTCAAGATGTTATCTTAACCTCCAAATTCCCAAAACTTCAGTCTCATTGTTCGTCTGTGGGATGAGCAGGAAACACAGCTCCGACCCTCTGCTCCTCCCACGACCTAAAGAATCTTCTGGAAACATCTTGGTGCCCGACATCAGCAGACACCTTCAGAAGTCCAGCTTTGTCTGAAGCTTGACAGGTCAAGCTGTTATGGTGGCATGAAGTGAAGTCAAATAAAACCACAGTTTAGTCCAAACCAGAGTTTATCTTTATCAGGTGATATGTTCTCTTTCAAAAAATTTATTTTGAGTTGTTTTGTTTTCATCCGGGATCATCAAGCAGCTGCTTCTGGCCTCATTTTGTCCGTGTGACAAACCTCTGTACGTGCCTAACTCTGTAATCTTTACCACATAATGCTGACGTGTCATTCTTCCTCCCTGCAGTAACAGGACAGGACGAGAGGATTTCATTAAAAAAAAAAAAGAAAAGCTTATTATTCTGATAGGAAGCCTGGACGATCCCCTGCCAAGCTTCTGTTCTGTTCCGTTTATATAAACTGGTTCCAAATGACTCTAGGAAACAAGATCCTAAACAAACACAGTGCTTAAACACAAGGGTCTCATTACGCTGACACCTATTGTGTAAACAAAAATACAAATGGTAGCAAAGGTCAATAAGTAAGTTTTTATATTACAAAAACTGAACATTAACTTGTATTTAAACAATTCTTTATAAACTCTTTACTGGATCGACTCCAATCAGTAGTACATCCAATAATTACTTTGCTTTAATTAAGTGGTCTGTGAGATATTTGGGTAAAAGACACACATGAGCATGAACTGTAGCTCTGACTGTGCTTTAGGCAGCAAATAATAAAAATGAATGAATCATGATAAAACATTATGGAATGGACCGAGTCCGTACGGCAGGGCTATTCAACTAAATTGTTTCGGGGGCCACAGTTACTGCAGGTCACCAGCTGAGGGGCCGAACATCCAGCAATTATAGTCATTATAAACTAAGTATTACAAAGATCTGTTATCTTTGAAATAGTTTATTTTGCTGCATTTAATCATGAACACAGCATACAGAACCCATAAAGGTAGTGATAATTCAACAATATCAAAAACAAAAAGAACACATTATGCCTATTATTTGACACAATTATTTTGACATCTGACTTGCCAAATTTTTAAACCAATTTTATTTTCACTTTCATAGTTCTATCTTCAATTGCTTGCTTGTAGTTTTAACTGTCTTGAGTGTGCATAGAAATGGTTTATACCAGCTTGTAGCCAAGGTTCTGATGTTTCTGTAGACACCAAACATGTCTATGTCTAGCTACAAGAACTTAGAGTAATTAAAGTAGAAAACGGGGGGTTTGGGCTTAAGAGATGAATGAACCAATTGGTGGKCCGRACTTTGGTCACTCGCGGGCCGGATGTGGCCCGCGGGCCGTCAGTTGAATAGCCCTGCCATACGGTGATGTTAGAAAAAGAATAATTAATGTTTGGCCATGAAATACAGCAGGTAAAATAAGTATTGAACACGTCACCATTTTTCTCAGTAAATATATTACTAGAGGATCCTGATGGAGATGACTAGATGACATGAAATTTTCACCAGATGTTGGTAACAACCCAAGTGATCCATACATACAAAGAAATTAAACCATAAATGTCCAGAAATGAAGTTATTTGTAATAATGTGGAATTGAAAAAGTATTGAACACATGAAGAAAGGGAGGTGTAAAAAGGCATGGAAAGCCAAGACAC